AAACTTTGTAATGAAATTGGCAAAACAAAAGGAATGCTTGTAAATGGAGCAAACTTCAAAATATAATTCCTGAAGTTACAAACCTTATCTAGCAGTATTTCCTGAAACTCTTCTGGTCGAATCTTAATATTACGGAAGTTGGCAGAAGTATTCTGCATAATGGAGTAAAAATGACTCAATACTAGCCCCTTTCATATTTTGTAAAAAGTGAAAAAGATTTAAAAGCAAAGCTACAGTAATAGTATTAGCATGTTGATAATGCATTAGTTGCTACACCAACATAAAGTGAAGTTAGAGAAGAAAACATAATAGATTCAAATTTCAGGAAATGATTCAACAAACACCATGCACTTAATTTACAAAATAAATGGATCCAAGATAACTGTATCAAGTTATACCCTTTGAGCTATAAAATCCATAGTCACAGAAAAGAAAGCCAGTTAATTTTTACCTCTGTGACATAACGATTGCTTTCATATGACTTCCATGGCTGAGGTTCTAACACAAAAAAGCCACCCTGTTTAGAAGAAATATTACATTGTAAATAACAGAATATACTAAGAGAAAGTTATGTTGGTGTGTTGTTTTACCAGAGAATATGTGCGCCATTAAATAGTTCAAGATCAGAAAACGAATCAGAGCTGGAATCTCTAGAACAGAGAAAACACACTTGGATGTACCAGACTTTTTGTAGTTTATGGGAGAAAACCACCTCCTTTGGTGAGATGGGAGAAAAACACACTAGGAAAGACAAGAGTGGAAGCAGTGGCAACGGAGTTGATAAGGTGGGATGAAGCCCTGTGACAATTGAAGCATTATTTGACCCGAGTCCAACAACAAATGAAAGGGTATGCAGGCCAAAAGAGAAGAGATTTGAACTTTGAGGTGGGGAGTGGGTGTTTTAAAAACTGAGGCCACATCGACAAAAAACAGTAGCTAGAAAAATCAATCAAAAATTGGCCCCGCCGTGATTTGGACAATTCCCCATAATTTAGAAGATTGGAGCTGTTCTTGTATACTGAACCTGCTAGATTCAGCTAGAATTCATTATTCAGCCGAGGTTGAGTTACTGGTGGGGATGGAGGAGATGAGGAATGAAACCACTGTATTGCATGTTTGCGCGAGGAGAGGAAAAGTGGGCCAGGAGAGAAGGGAATGAGTATCTTAGTCTGGTTTGTTCAACATGATTATGTTATTGGCAGGAGAGAAGCTAGGGGGAAGGTCATTTTTGCATATTGTGGGGAATTCTGTTATGACTTTGGAGAGAATAATCTCTCTGGTAGAATTATTCTACTCGGGTTTCTCTTTTCAACTTGTAGAGCTTCTCGATCAATTAAATTCCATAAATAATACACAATTTCTTCCATTATATTTGTGAGTTCTCTCAGAGACAGGCGACAAACATAGATTGTTTAGAAGAGTTCATGCACAGGCATGGTAGGAGATAATACTCACAGGTCGGAGCAGCTTCCAAGTCTCTGCAAATAATGTGATTAAGCCATCATCCCCCCAATTTAGATGAATCCATTTTGCTACACTCAGACTGCAAACAGTAGTAGTAACACACAGAAAGAGTAAGTCACATGAAACTTAAGGTTAAAAATTTCTTTCTCCCTGAAGCTTAGTAATTAAAACTGGAGTAAATGCTTAGTAAACAGAAAGGTAATTGAGCTCATGTTTAAAAATGAAACTACAACATATAGACAATCCATTTGGAGATATCAACTATCCAGCAGAAGTCAAACACAAAGATGGGCCAACAGGCCAAGCTCAAAAAACATGAAGATAATCAAAGGCAAGCAATTATGAACATGACTTTAATATCCCAAGCGGCATAAGGAATGTCAAAAGAGAAAAAGAAACAGCAACTAACCAAAGAATAGTATCATATTGCTTTCCTGGTGGGTGCGGACTCTGAACAAAATTTTCACATTGAAAAGAAACAATATTGAAAAGATCAACTTGCTCCAAAGAAGAAGCCTCGTTTGAAATGTCTTTCGTTTCAACATGTGATGACGGAGTAACACTGTTCTTTAAGTGGTCGGTGTGGCTGTTGTCGTTGAGTTTGGAGACCTTGGAAGGTTTATTCCCGGCAGATTTCAATCTAGCAGTTTTTCTCAAATTCCAATTTGCATCACACACTCGATCTAGCATTACCCGTAAAAACAAAAGAATGAACAAAAGGATTCATTTACAAGTTTAAGGTCTCAATTCCAAGCATATTTAGGCCTCATCATATAGTAACATAAAAAGAGAAAACAAAGAATTAAAACTAGACTAGTTCCCATACTCAATAAAGATCGGAAATTCAGAACAGATACGAGTCTTACCAGAATCAATGTCAACTCCAAGAATGCTCCGGCAGCTAAATTTGAGTGCTGTTGAAATTTAGAGCATCATGATGGAAATTAAAACTATAACATACAACAAGAACGAAATGGATAATATCGACATTGGTAAGAAAGAAAAATACCAATATGTATGGTGATAATCCCACTGTTGCAACCAATATCAAGACAATCCTTCCCTTGAAACCACTCTTTCTTGAAAACTTTCAAGCGAGGATCTTCATCAACACCTTCACTAATCTGAAACAAGATCAAAACATGATAAAGACGGTGATAATGTGGGTGAATGTAATAACGGTGTTAAACATATATTATTACTCGGTAGTTGTAGTAACTCTTGTAGTTTCCGTATTGGAAAACTTGATTATGCTTTTTGTTCTTCTTCTTTCGTTTTAGGTTTTCACCCTCGCTTTTTCTTCCATTTTTTTCTTCCATTTTTCAATCAACACTTAATCAAACCTTTCGCCTTGCTTCACGAACGGTGCTTTTAGTGAGGTTCGATTTTGGGTTTCCGGTTGATCGGACTGAGGAACTTTAAACCCTTTCATTTGCTCTCTACTTTTTCTAATACTCGTGGTCTTTTTTTAGGTAAAGCGAAATACCTATTTTGCCCCTAAACAAAATTAAACAACTCAATTAAAAGAATATTTTAATTTTTGAATGAAGATCTATTTTACTCTTCACAAAAATTGAAATTTTCGATTTAAATTCTTTAAAACAAAAATATTTGTCTGACTTTGTTTCAAAATCTTTATGTAGGTGAGTAACTATATTTTGTTAATCGATTAATAGAAATTGATCTTCATCCTCTTCTCAAAGTCTAAAAGAATTTTATTCAAATTCAATTATCTAACATCGTTAGGATAGACAAAAATTGAGAGTTGATCATATAAAAATACATTATCACTTTTCTATATAAATTTATTGGTGTACAAATTTCTATAGTCTAAATGTTCACTTATTAAGGACTTTGTCATTCTCAAGTCTTTCGTCTTAAATAATTTCTTTATACAATTATATCTTTTGGAAGTTCTTCAGGAGTTTCAATAATATTTATGTCATCCTCATAGACATCTATTATAAAAAAAAAATTTAATCTTTTTATAAAAATATAAAGACAAATAGAGTTATTTGTATATTTCTCTCTTAGCAAATATTCACTAAAACGATTATAACACATGTGTTCAAATTGTTTAAGCGAAACGTAAGATGAAGATTTGTGTGAGGAGAAAAATGTGAAAAGGATAATAAATGATAGAACATGCATTTAACTATTTTAACTTTTTCTTTTCTCTTCTTTTTTAATTATACAAAGAAAATTGTAATAAAAACAATTACTATTTACATATCATGAGTGCGTGTTATGATTACGTAGATTTAAATATCTACAAAAAATATAAATTATATATATATATATATATATATATATATATATATATATATATATATATATATATATATATATATATATATATATATATATATATATATATATATATATATATATATATATATATATATATATATATATATATATATATATATATATATATATATATATATATATATATATATATATATATATATATATATATATATATCAGAAGAGTCTTTGTTGACCGACCATCTTCCATTGTCATGAGTATATTTCGGAAATCACCACTAAATTTTTCTTTAATTATGTTTAAATTAATTTAAGTTTAAGGGCAGTTTAGATTAATTACGCTTTGCTTGATTTATAGAGGTTTGGCATTTAATTTTGTTGATGTGTCAATTTGAGAATCATTTCACGTTAATTGTAATTTTTTTCAAATTGTAAAAGCCTATGCAGCGCAACTCAATGGTCACATTGAGAAATGGAAAGCCATTGGTATCGAAGAGCAACTTAAGAAACACGTTGAAAACTAAAAAGTCTCTCTACCTATCCTTTGGGAATGCAAACGTAGCATATAATAAGAATCTTTCATTATCATCTCTACCAAAAATTCATTATCACTTGAAACACTCCTTAATACATCCTTCATTCACCATCAACAATAACAATCCATCAGATTTATTGTACCCTAATTTTTGACCTAAGATCTCACATCATATGCATCATCTTATAAGTAATTTAGCTTTAAATAAAACATACACATCATCATATTCATCATAATCTTATCACATTAGGGTTTCATCATGGGTTCATCATGTGCTTGAAGAGAATTAGGGTTTTGCATCCTCAGTTGACAAATCAGGAATTAGGGTTTTGAAGATTGAGCTCTAATGTATATCACTCAATAGGTCCTCAATATCATCATCTAATAGTACTCAAGGTGTCTCAATGTATTTAAGATTATATCATCATCACAAGATTTCATTGGAATTGGAAGATTTGAATTCAACTAGAAAGTCAACTGCTCAAAGTCAAACTTTGACTTTTGAGATTTTGTCAAATATGGACTTCTCAAGTCAAATTTCATGAATATGTGATTGATGTTTTAATTTTATCAAGTGAAATCATAAAATTTGAGGTAACTTGTGTTGTACCCCAAAATTTTCCCTCCCATATTCTTCAAGATTTGTCAAGATCAATCTTCAAATGGATCAAGGGGTTGCTCAGTCAAACATCCTCCTAAGCCAGTCAAAATTAGGGTTTTGGATCTTCCAAGGAATTTGAGGTTTTCAATGGCTCAATCAAGTCCCATAGGCCCATACATATTGTCAAGCATCTACATGTCAAGTTTCAAGACTCACAGTGTCAAATTGCACAGTCAAAAGCCCTATTTGGTTCACAATCAACTATAGGGGTAAAATGGTTATTTGGCAGTCAAAAGTCAAAAAATTTGGTCAACATCTTATTTTGGGCTCATAATCATCATTTTATCAAGTCTTGATCATGATTCCACAAGCATGGCTCAAAAATCATCAAAGATGCAAAAGTTATTATTTTTGGACAGCAGCAAAGTCAACTGTAACTTGACCAAGGCATAACTTTTTCATGGTTCATCAGAAAAATCCCATCCAATGCTCATTTTGAAGGGGATGACATTTCCTACAACTCATCTTCACATTCCAAGTTCAAGAAATGCTCTCACAAAAAGTTATCAATTTCTACATTATAGATCAATTTCAAAGGTCAACAAAAATGCACTTTAAGTCAAAGACCATAACTTGAGATTGGTAACTCCAAATGACATGGGACCAAAGGCATTGGTTAGAGGACTTCAAGACCTTTCCAAAATGTCCAAGAACATGTTCATATGATCAAAATTGAGCAAGATATGCATTGGAGAAGTTGGGAAATTTTTGTGAATTTGCAAAAGTCAACTTTGCTCAAAACACATCATTTTTGCTAATGGGCCTCAAATTTCTTCTTGAAACATTGTCCAAGGCCTATGCACGACCCATTGAGCTTAAATTGAATTATTTTCTTATTTTTAATTAATTATTTGGATTTTTAATCAATATTAATTCATTTAATTAATTTAATTGTAGGAAAATATCAAGATATGATTTCCAAATCTTTTGTGAAGCAAATAAGCTCAAGACAAGCTGGAGATTTCGTGTGCACATCAAGGGGACCAAAATCTCCCAATTTGGCAAGGTTTTTCAATCAAAAATATGCAAAAAGATTTGATTGAAAATCAAATATTGAAAACATGAATTCCATGGATCTTTGGACCAGAAGTTAACCTAATTCCATTCTATTATAAGTGCATAAGCTAAACCTAAAGCCTTGGACGTGAGAACTGCTGCCAAAAGCCATAATCACATTCAAAAAATCCAAGGAAAAAGTGAAAACTGTTTGCTATCTTCCAAGCCAATTCAAGGCGTTTCAGTGATTCAAATACATTGCTAGCATCCCCAGGAACATATTGCAATCAAAATCATACGCCAAAGCTCAAGAAAACGTTCTACACAGACCCATGGTTTGAACAATTTTTCCAAAATCATATACTTTGATTCATGCATATTTAACATCTTTTGTTGATTGTTTTGTGTTCATAAGGACTGTACGAAGCTTTTGGTATAAGATAATTGGATTAAGATGCCCTGAAACAGAAAACGCCATTAATGGATTTTAGGGTTTCCAAGCTTCAAAATTAGGGCTTTGCTGTACAAGAAAAATCAGGCCTTGAGAGACCCATGGCTAAACTCGTTGAAACCAGACGAATTCAATGGACATGTCGCGCCCTATTTATATAGCTTCTACGCCTAATCGCTATTTTTGGTCATGCTATTTTGTGGGGGTTAAAAACCCCCGCTATCTGTTTGTTGTTTTTACAGGTGAATGAAGAAGATGATTACGTGTTCATACGTGTTTGGTTGGTTTAAATGAGGCGCGCTTTTTTTGTTTTAATAGCGTATGCATTGATTTTACTATATTATATTCTCTCTCCATTATATTATCAAAGCGCGCAGATTGGTGTAGTGGCAAAGGCGAACAGGCATTGAGTGCTGGGACTTGGGTTCGATTCCCAGGTCCCCCAAATATTGTTTATATTTTTTCATACCATAATCATGTGCAGGCTTGCCAATGTATTTCACCATGGACTCTCACAAATCAATGCGCCAAGTGGCCACAAAGCTCAATCCAATGGCCATGGGATGGATGACCATCATGTTCCCAGTCAAAGCCAGTGCAGCCAATTACAAAAGTCAAACAAGCTTGCACATCAATGGGCCAGAATTGCCAAATTCACCTCCAATGGGTCCATCAACCCCCTGGTTTATTATCTTTTTTTTATTTTCCTTTTCTTTTTATTTTCTTTAATAATTATTATTACTATTATCTAATTAATTCATAAATTATTTTTCATAATAAAAATCAGAAACTTAAAATATTGTTTATTTTTATTATTATTTATTATTTTCACTATTAATAATTATTTTTTAAAATAAATGTAAATTAATTAATTTAGTTAAATTAGGTTAACTTTAATCTTTTTTTATAATAAATAAAACAAATTTAGAATTAGGGTTTTTCATTTGACTTTTAATTTCTTTTACTTTTTTATTAAAGACTTAAAAAACACAAAAACATTTTTTCTTTTAATAAATTAATTAATTAGTTATTAGGTTTAATATTTCATTAATTGCAAAAAAGGACAAATTACTTTCTTTTCTCAAAAAGGGTCAAAACCCTAAGACGTTCCCGATTTAATTTCTTTCGCGCTTTAATTCCTTTTGATTATATTGATGTAACTGTTTCCAAGGATGTAATAGTTAATTAGGTCTTTTACCGCTTTCTTTACTTTTCTCGCATTTATTTTCCAAACGGGTTTTGTTTTTGGCGATGTATAGACCTGCGCCTTGTAATAGCGTAGATTTACCTTTTCGCACTTTATTTCCCGCACAAACATTAACTGTTAATTATGCCTGCAAGACTTGTATGACAAATAAAATCAACCCGTAGCTCATAATGATACATGTGCAAAGATAAATATAAACTG